GCGGCGTCCCGCCCGCCGCCTCCCGCTCGTACTCCCGCCGGCTCTCGGCAGCATCTGCGGGGGCACACAGCGTCAGCGCCGCCGCCGGCGGGCCGGGCCCTACGGAACGCGTTTAAAGGCACGGAAAAGCGGTGCGCGGGGGAAGGAGGGGGCTCGGGAAGGGAAGAGCGCGGCAGCGTGCAGCAGGAACCGGGGCCTGTGGGACGGGACCTTCTGACTGCGGTGAAGGGAGCGGGGTTGACTGACAAGCTGGTGCACGCCTGAAATTTCTGCAATTGTGTAACACTAAACAAATACAGACTTCCCTTTATTTTGCAGGCCCGGAGTGTGCTGGAAGAAAGGCCCTCGGTTGCCTTTGCAGTTGTTTGCTCTGCGTAATGGAAAAGGAGTCAATGGGCAGAGGTGCTGTTCGACCTGACTGCAGCTCCTGAATGGGAGCGGGTCGGCCCTGAACACGCTGCCGAGGCGCGTTAAAAGGGCAATGCGAGGAGGAGGAGCCAGTGGCCCTGGCTGCATCTCTGCCTGAAAAGCTCAACTTGCTGCTGAAAAGTCAAAAATGGGACACTAAAGGGGAAGGGTGGCGTTTTTAAAGCAGCAAAGTTGCTTGAGCACAACAATAGTGAGCCTTTTAGGCGTAGGAAGAATGAATTAGGCTACAAAGGTGGCTATTTTTGTTTTAGAAAAGTATAGGTGGTAGCACAAAGCTATGAAGCGATGAAGCAGTGCCTGCTGCAGGCAGCCGTGCACCAGCATGGCACGCAAGGTGGCCCCAAGCATGCACGCGCCGCGGCTGGCCCTGCGGGTCCGGGGTGACATCACGGCCTGGCCGCTGGGGACTCTCACCTTTCTCTGTTCCGTTCTGGTGGGCTGGGGAAGAGACTGGATTCCGGGATCTGGCAAAAGCACTCATGAGAGGAAGAGCCCCTGGCCTGTGATTCCTGGGCCTGGAAGAAGAAAGGGAGAAGTGACACAGCTGATGGTCCAACAGACCGAGCACCCAGAGCTGCTGGCAAAGGGGGCCCATCCCAGTGCTGCTCAAACTCCATGTAAGCCTTGTGCAATGTAAGCTGGGCAGGTGCACGCTAAACTGTGGGTGAGAGTGGGGTGTAGACATAGTCAATAAAGACGTAGCCTTACCAATCCTCAGGGTCGCAGTCTCGGAATCCCTTGGCAAAAGGGTTACTGGCGATCTTTAGCTGCGTGATCTGTAAGGAGAAGCAGGGAAATGTCTCAAAGCAAGGAACACGGGGCTCCCTGGTCAAACAGCGAGCGTGTCCCTGAGCGGGCTTTGGGAGTCAGAAGTGCCTGGTGTAACAGAGAGGGCCCAGGGGCTGGTGGAGACGGGACACGCTCTGCCACAGAACACAGACATGTGCTTTCCCTCTGTCAGAAAACGCGGGCTAGCGTGCTATCTAATACGAGTTCAAGGCGAAGGGAGAGGCAGCCCGAGTCGGCTGCAAAAGCTGTGTAAATGCACTTGTAAGAAAATGCCACATTATATGGGTCACCACTGGAGCAGCTAAGACAAATCACTGGATAAATCATACTTATGTATTTATTTAATTCGCCGGGGAGAAGGCAGGACATTTTCTATATTTAAGCAAATCCACGGATAAAGTATGTGATTGTGAGTTTCCGGAATGGGTTGAAAAACAAACTTTAAGCCCCTCAGTGACAGTTCCAGCCTTAGAGGTCAAACTGATAGAAAGCAGGAGAGAAGGAGCAGCTGTCCGGAGCCATCAGGCAAATGCCAGCCGGGGAGGGACTCCGGAGCCCCTTAAAGGCGCAGCCCTGCTCCGGCCCCGCCGCCTCCCCGGGGTGGGGTGCCGGCCCGCCCGCAGCATCCCGAGGGGACCCCGGATCGATGTGCTCAGAGCCGCTGCCGAGGGTGGCACCGCCGCCGGGGACAGCCCCGCGCCCCAGACCCGGTGCGGAGCAAGGCGGCTTGGAGCAGCGCTGAAAAGCCCCGGCTATGAAACCGTGCTTGCGCTGGCGGCTGGGGTCCCTGCTCTTTACATTACACTGATGCGATTTAAAGAAGCAATTGGATTAACCGCTGCCCAGAAATCCACATCAGATTAGAGGGGGTGGATTGCTTTGTTTCGTTTTGTTTCAGTTTTTTAACATACAACTGTATTCTGGGGAGGAACAGACCGCTGCGAGTTTAGAGAAACAAAATCGCAGATTTATGCAAACAAATTGTGAGTGACATGTCGCAGCGGGAAGCCCGTGGTTTCCCTTCGAGCCCCGGGCTGGGGTTTACACAGGTAATG